TGAAAATGTTGCTTTGTGTCTGCAAGCCTGTGTTGACTTAGGTGGTGCCCAGGTTGACCAGCATCTTAAAAATCGATGACTTATGTGTGTGCGATTCCATTTTTGTAACCACTGCAATTGTTAACATTTATCAATAGAAATAACATCTAATCAAAAACTGACTGAGTCTGGCCCACCCTGTAATATAGCTAGAGAAAAGTTTGACTAGATTATTGATGCTGTAATTAGTTTAAATGACACCATATGGTTATGTTTTGCTGAAAGTAATTAATTTGGTTAAGTAACATACAGCTTTGGCTTTTGGGAATAAGGTGCACTGGCTTAGGTTTAGCTTTCCAGTCACTGTTTCCAGGATTAAAAATCATAATCAGTAATCTGTCAGATGACAGGTCCACAGTCTCTTCCAAAAGAATTCCTCCACTTAATGCGATCTAGAGCTTTCTCCTTCAAATGACAGTATCCTCTTCTGTCCCCAAGGTCATCCAGCATCTTCTTACATCTTCTTCCTCGTCTTCTTGTCACTTCTATCCGCCCATCTATCTTTCCTTCAGTAACCTCTTTTAGAAGGCAGTTTCTGTGTAAAACATGACCAATCCAATTAGCCTTCCGTTTTCTTATTTCGCGTAGGATATTCCTCTGCTCACTGACTCTAATTAACACTTCTTCATTTCTCACATAATCGGTCCAACTGATCTTCTCCATCCTTCTCCAACGCCACATTTCGAAACTTTCCAGATGTTTCTGATCTACTGCCCTAAGTGTCCAAGTTTCAGCCCCATAACGAGCTATGCTCCAAATGTAGCATTTCACTAGTTTCTTCCTCAAATTTAAGTCCAATTTGCTGGTAAAAAGATTCTTCTTCTTGCTAAATGCAGCTTTTGCCATGGCAATCCTGGATTTAATTTCACTAGTACACCTTCCATCATCTGTTAATAAGCTACCCAAATATTTAAAACATTTCACATTCTCCAGTTGTTTTTGGTCTATCTTTATTGTGACTGGGGTTGGTTGTCTCGAAATTTTCATTACTTTTGTTTTCTCCACATTCATTTCCATGCCATAGCACCTTCCAATTTCAATTAGTCTATCAATCATACCCTGTAGCACAGTTTCTTCCTTAGCCATTAACACAAGGTCATCTGCATATTTCACAGTTTGAATAATTTGCCCTCCTACTTTGAAGTCACCGAGCCCATCCAGAGCTTCCTTGGTAAGGCATTCGCTGTACAAGTTGAACAGAATTGGTGATAAACAGCATCCTTGTCGAACTCCTCTTCCAATCTGCACACTTCCTGTCTCCCCCCTGTCCAGTCGTACTCTAACTTTCTGATCCATGTACAATTTGCTAATCAATCTTCTTTCATGCCAATCGATACCTGTTTCTTTCAGGATCTGCATTAATTTGGTCCAGTTTACCCGGTCAAATGCCTTCTGCCAGTCTATGAAGCAAACACACAGTTCTTCATCTATCTCCAAAGTTCGTTCCGCTATAATTCTCATCATCCCAATTGCATCCCTGGTTCCTTTTCCTCTTCTAAATCCAAACTGATCTTCTCCAAGTACATCCTCTATTTTCCTTTCAATTCTTCTTTTAAGTATCTTTGCTATTATCTTTGCTGTATGTGCAATAAGACTTATTGTGCGATGGTCGCTGCATTTTGTAGCTTTTGTCTTTTTCTTTAAGGCAATCATTGTAACTTCTGTAAAGTCCTTGGGCCACTCTCCACTTTCATATATGGTGTTCATTAGTTTTGTCAGTGTTTTCAAACCACCTTCTCCCAGTAACTTGAGCACATCTCCAGGTACATCATCATCTCCTGTAGCCTTTCCCTTCCTCATTTCCTTGATAGCTTTTTCCACCTCACTTTGTAAAATATATGGTCCTTTCTCGTCTGTATCTACTTCTTCTTCCGGTTCAACTTCTAAGGTTTCTGGCCGATTAGGTCGATCATATAGTTCTGAAATATAATTTTCCCAAATTTTCAGCACTTGCCTCTGATCTACTATTCTATTCCCCTGGGAGTCTTCGATGCCAACATTTTGAATCCCATGATTCTCTTTCCATCCTAGTTCTTTTGTCTTCATGTACATCAAATCATAACGGCCTGTTCTTTGAAATTCCATAATCTCATTACATATCTTCTCAAGATATTCCTTTTTGGCCCTGTCCGTGGCTCTTTTCAATTCATTCCTCAGTCTCCTGTATTTCCTCCTGCCTTCTTCATTGTTGACATTCTTCCATTTCCTTCGCTCCTCCATTTTACTCATCATCTCCTGTGTAACCCATGGTTTTCTTGCTATCTTCTCAACTTTACCTACCAAATCACTGATAGTATCTAACATGCATTCTTTTATATCGTTCCACTGCGCTTCAGCATTTCCGCTTTCACCTTCAATTGCACCGAGTTTCTCTTCTAGAGTCTCTTGCACGCTTTGTCTTTGAGCATATAACTTCTCCAAATCCCATCTGGGTCTGCGCTTTCGAAATCCTATAATTTTCTTCAACCTGGTTCGGAACTTGGCAACCAGCAAGTTGTGGTCAGAGTCAATGTCTGCCCCAGGAAGCGTCTTCACATCCTTCACACTGTTTCTGAATCGATGTTTCACAAGGATGTAGTCCAGCTGATGCCTCTTCCAATCCCCAGGTGCCTTCCATGTGTAAATTCTTCTCTTTGGCTTCTTGAACCAAGTGTTGGTAACAATCAATCCATTTCGTTCACAAAAGTCAATAAGCATTTGACCTCTGTGATTCCGTCTTCCTAGTCCATGTGATCCAACAATATTCTGATATGGTTCATCTCCAACAATGCTGTTCCAGTCTCCCAATATGATGCTGTTTGTGTCTCCTCTTCCATCTTCCTGAAGAATTTCTTCAATTGTGTCATACACTTTTTCCACTTCATCATCTTCATACTCTGATGTTGGCATGTACACTTGTATAATCAGTATATCTACCGGTTCCGCCTTTAACTTCAGAGCAATAATTCTGTCATTACAAGCAATCTTCTTAACAACACTCCTCACTACACTTTTATGCACCACTATTGCCACACCTCTTTCAGCCCGTTCACCTCCGGAATAATACACTGTATAATCACCGCTTCTTATTTCACCTTGTCCTTTCCACCGCACTTCGCTGACACCTAGCACAGACACTTCATTCTTCTGCATTTCCGTTTTCAAATTCTCCAATTTTCCTGCTTGATTCAAGGTCCTGACATTCCATGTTCCAATCTTGTATCCATGCTGTTTCTTCTGATCTTCGCACTTTTTCTTGTTGTAACGCCTGCATGACATTTCCTCTAGAAACACCCCCCCCCCCCAGAGATCCGTTTGGGGGAGTAGTTTACCTCCAGATCGTTTTGTCTCCAGAGGAAGCATCTCGCATATGTGGTATCTCTGGTTTTGGAAAGAAACTATCCAGGAAAAGTGATAATGTGTTAGTTTTTCCATTTGCTTTCCACATCGCAGTACAACAGCCATTCAAACCACTCTGGTCACGCCTGTTGCTATACGAACTTGAACCATCTCGAGCATCATTTGCTCTGTGCTTCAAGTCGCTACTGATGACGCTGCTTCCGGCATCAGTTTTTGGTGTCTCTCTTCATCTTATGCCTACCCTTTGACCTGTGCAGCAAGGGAGGCCCAGCCAGTAGCTATGCTACCGCTGGTATAGCTCTCAGGGTCCTTGGCATACTCAAACCCCCTCACCACAATAAGGTGGAGACACGAACGAGAGGGCCAGGATTAATGTCTTTGGGAATTATGGAAAGCCCTTATACAGTTCTCACACTAAGCAGTGAGTCAAAATGAAGCCATGATTGGAGAAAACAGAGGAGTGAGGTGCTATCCAATAGAGAGTGACCATGTACTTCATGAAAAGAGGTGATGAAAAATGTTCCCATCATCTCCATGTTTAGGACAAAAGTTGATGGAATATTTTCTAGCAACTACATGCTAATTAGAAGAGGTGATGAAAAAGCTTTAATAAGAACAAACTAAAAAACCACAGTACCTACTATCACTATCACTATATATATCTTCACAGGCTAAGTTCAGTGGTTGTTGTATGAGGATGTTTGAGTCTTAGGTTTAGAGGGAAAGAGGTGAGGCCAGACTTTACATAGTTTGCATTCATCACCATGGTTGAAGTTAAGGGGTGTTTTCTTATTTCAGTACTTCCAAGATGATGTGGGGTGGTATGTCTGACTGTTGGCTATACCCTCTGTTATGCCAAAGTGGATGCTGTATTTAGTCTCTGTGGAGTGTTTGCCCACCATTGATCACTTGTTCTTCAGTCCGATATCTCTGTGTTCGGAATACTGGTGGACATGTGTCACCTCATTTGGCCGGTGTGTGCCTTGTCACCTTATCAAGGGATCTTATAAATGCTTGATTTATGAGTTGTGGATTGTCTCTCCTTGGTGGGCTTGAAGTGAAATACCATTTTGTTAAATAGTCTCTCTATTGTGTGAATGCCTTTTCCTTCAGTAGCCTCGAAGTGTGCCCAGTAGTGCCTTGAATGTATGGTCCACATATTATATGATCTCTCTTCATAATACCTTTTTGGCGGATCTCAATTTGCTTGGTATGTTAATGCTCTGGAGGGATCAGCAATTGGCTCTGGGAATGGATTCAAAACTCTGTAGTTCGGATGCCTACTTAGACTTGTCAGCAGACAGACCTGCAGTCAGCATCACACCACCTGGTAGCTCATTTTAAATCAGTCATAACCACCTTGAAAGCAAAGTCATGACAATGTGATGATGACAACAACAGCAGCAACCACAATGATTAAAACAACAGGATGACAACAGTGATGATAATGACAGTAACAGCAACAATAATAATGAAATATCAGTCTCTTCTAATGACTTCTTGTGTATATTCAGCCAGTAACTTTGAAAGAAGTTAAATCTTAGTAATTATTTGAAGCAGTGAAGAAACTGATTATGTGTAAAACTGAATATAGGATATGACTTTGTTTTCTAAACTTCAAGGTGTGGCTGTTGTGAGTGTATAACTTCATGTGTAAGAGACAGTGTGCACCATTCTCGCTCAAGGATGAATGCTTACCGTGCTCTGGCAAGTCCATCGCTCATATGTTTGACAGCTAAAGACCCGATTCTATCAGCCTTTCAATTGTCTTGGGAGCTTAGGAGACTGAGTTTTGAAGAGCATGAGTTCAGAAGTGAGTATCAGGTAAGTAATAATGGTTCTCAGAATAATCACCTTGTGAGATTAGAAGATGTCACAGCAGTAACATTGAACATTATTACCTTTTTCTGGAATTAGGGTCATGTAGTGTGGTAGACTGTTGTTAATTTTTCAGAGGAATGTACTGACTCCATCTTCAGAATACCCTGTATATATATCACACTATATGGGATCAAATCCCAACAAGACCATGATCATCATATCCATTTTTCGTTAATTTATATTATATTTTAGCCACCTGTTTATTGGGGCCATCATTTTAAATTATAAAGTATTCCACCATATTGTAAGATTTGAGGCTTTCACGGCGGTNCCCCCCCCCTCAGCTTACGGGTTGTGCCCAGCCTTTAACATTGCCTTTCTCTCCCCTACACAAAAACCACGCTTGTCCCAGCTCCCTTCCCCTACCCCTCCCACACTACTGCTTTCACTTGTATACTTCCCCTTCCCCCTTCTCCCTCTCTGCTCTCACATAGCTGTGTATATTTCCACACAATCTGCTTTTACCGGTTCTCACGGGCTCTCCGCTTGCAGATTTCTTATATTTTTTCTTCTACCCTGAAGATGGAGGCGATACGTTCCTCTGAAACGGCGGTTAACACCACATATACACGGTGCCAAATCCCAGAAGACTGCTTTCATTAGGTACCATGTTGATGGCTATTCTCTTGTATGAGACTTGATCTACCAACGGGATCGGCAGATTACAGATGTCTTAATTGTTTTCAATGAAAGTCAAAATACATAACTTATTTCTAAAATGTTGTGGTTCTTTATGCAGAAAAAAAAACTAGAACAAGGAACAAAATCCAAGAGAACTACCCTAAATGTAGCATCACATTATTATCAAATAATTTTATAGTTTGTCAGAAGATGCTGGTTTCTCACTCTGGAGGTCCAGGTTTAATTCCAGGGCAGTTTATGTGGGATTTGAACTGGAACAAGTGACGCTAATACAGAATGAAAGGGAGAACAGAAATATCTCAGCACTCAAGACATTCTTGTCCCTTGCAAGTTGAATGCTAAGACAAATTTCCAACGTAGAATGTTGTTCAATTCTGGGGTAATGACAGTGAGGTATAATGGCCTGGTTTGCTAACCTGTGGTGAACCTGCCTGTTTCCATCTTCAAAGTGAAGTTTTCAGACAACACTAGATACCAAAATCATTAGCTCCAGCCCACAAGACAGTGGAAGTAAACTGCTGTTTAGTCAATTTGCCTTGATGATGGAGGCAGACAAGGTCCCAAATTGTCAGGAACCAAGACTACCATATCACCATATCATTTACTAAAAATGGAAAAAAAATTAGCTACAAACTGTGATGAAAACCTGAAGACTGATAAAGGAAATCATATTTGAAAATAGATTAAGTTTCAAACAGAGAGCAAGCACTACTGATTCTTCAATTAGGGAATGACTCACATTAATTTTAAGGTTGCTGTTGTTGCTGCATCGTACTATGCAATTGTCGCATCCAGTTATTGTATTCGTTATCTTGACTTTAAGATGTTATACTCAGAAATCTGTTGTAGGATTTGAAGAAGAAATGGAAGGTCTTCGCTACAGCTTTGCTCGACCACACCCGGAGCTCACATGAACTAGAAATAATTCTTAATCATGATCCACTGGAGCCAGTGATACATAGTGAAGGACGCATGCACCTTAGACGCCTCAGGCTGGCTGTGAGATTTCATCAGAAGGAGGTCAGAATGTCTGGCATATTAACTCATTGAAGTAAATACAAAATGAAAGTAGTGGAAGAGAAACTTCATATATTGAAATGATTTACATAAAGTAAAAAATGCTTATCATAGAAGCAATCAGAATTGCTTGGAAATGTATAGTTCCTTATGCTTCTATTTTTTTTTTCCAATATATAGATATGGGTAGCATGAAGCATAAATGTATGCAGAATTTCTGTTTAAAAAATTCAAGGGAAGAAACCAATTGGCAAACCTAAGCAGAGGTGAAGGTGTAGACTGGATTGAAATAGCTCAGGGTAGGATCCTTATTTATGTATGGTAATGAACTTCCTGGTTTCATACAAGCAGGGACTTTTATGACCAATGAGTAATTTTCAGTTTTTCAACAATGACCCTATATCATGCTGCTGGTTGGAATAAAGAGAATAAAACACATCAGCAATTAACTAACTCCATGGAGCAAGGTCATTCTTGGGAAACAAACCGTTGCTCAGCCACCCAAGAAAGTCCCAACATTTTATGGAACTCGAAGGTTCATTATCATGCCCACAAGAATGCAACATTGGTCTCTACCCTGACTGAACACGACTGCTTATTTAATATATTCACAGCTACTTCATACCTGGAGTCCATCACCATCATATGCAACCTGAGTCTGCACCGAGGGACCCACTTAACAAAGAAAACCTGGGAATATTTTGCATATGAAGCAAAGGAACTAAATCACTAATAAATAAGCATAGTAAGAAATAAGTGTTAAACAAGGATATGAGATCAGCATATTGTCTAATTGCACAGATTTGGAAACAAAAATAACATTTTATTTATACAAAAAATGAAGCTTATAAACTAATATGCCATATATTTGCAATCTGCAATGCAAAAAGTGAATTTTTTTCTTCACAAATTCGTTTTATGCTGAGCATGATAATGGAAGCTTTAATTCTCTTATCTGGTGGTGCCTCATTTTTCTGTTTCTGTATCTTGTTATCATTCTTTCATATGGGAAAAGACTTTCCTTGTGGAACCTCCCCCCCACTTTGTGGAATGCTGGAATTCCATAGAAAACGTTTCAGAAACGCTTAACAACATAACCAAGAAATGGTTATATTAGCATACTAAAAAGCTCAAACAGAGATAATTATGAAATACACAGCAATGCTTACATATAAAGAAATATTCAAAGGATGTTAAATACAGTGTTTACACTCCCAGTTCCTGACTAACACAATAAATACATTCTTGAAAAACTGGGGAGGTCAAGTAGTCAGACATGAATTTCTCATAAGAAATAATGTAATGTAACAGTCATTGTAGACCAGAAAGCAAGTCATGTTATTCAAAGACGACCTGACTTTAAAAATGGTGTTGAACTCGATTCATGTTGGTAGAACATGTCTTACTCAGGGATTTGGTATATTATATTATTAATCTCTCCCATATTTGTCTTGTAGTCTGTGACACACCAAAATGTCCAGCAACTTCTGGCATCAATATGGTATGAGGGTCTGCCAGGGTTCCGACGCAAGAATGTGTTTTTACAATTTTTTGAAACAGTACGCATTGCTGTTTCATTCCCATTCATGTCACTAATGTACATTATGGCTCCCACACGTTCATATGGGCAGACACTGAAGAAGCCATTCATCAAATTAATGTATATTTTACAAAGTGAGGTGGAAAAAGCTATCAAGGAAATGAGGAAGGGAAAGGCTACAGGAGATGATGATGTGCCTGGAGATGTGCTCAAGTTACTGGGAGAAGGTGGTTTGAAAACACTGACAAAACTAATGAACACCATATATGAAATTGGAGAGTGGCCCAAGGACTTTACAGAAGTTACAATGATTGCCTTAAAGAAAAAGACAAAAGCTACAAAATGCAGCGACGATCGCACAATAAGCCTTATTGCGCATACAGCAAAGATAATAGCAAAGATACTCAAAAGAAGAATTTAAAGGAAAATAGAGGATATACTTGGAGAAGATCAGTTTGGATTTAGAAGAGGAAAAGGAACCAGGGATGCAATTGGGATGATGAGAATTATAGCAGAACGAACTTTGGAGATAGATGAAGAACTGTGTGCTTGCTTTATAGACTGGCAGAAGGCATTTGACTGGGTAAACTGGACCAAATTAATGCAGACCCTAAAAGAAACAGGTATCGATTGGCGTGAAAGAAGATTGATTAGCAAATTGTACATGGATCAGAAAGTTAGAGTACGACTGGGCAGAGGGGAGACAGGAAGTGTGCAGATTGGAAGAGGAGTTTGACAAGGATGCTGTTTATCACCAATTCTGTTCAACTTGTACAGCGAATGCCTTACCAAGGAAGCTCTGGATGGGCTTGGAGACTTCAAAGTAGG